GGGAAGACATTTCTGTTCCAAAAAAAAAAAAAAAAAAAAGGCATCGCTGTCTTTCTGGAAACAACAAAGAATTAAAAAAAAAAACAAAGAAAAACGATGTAATCGTCAGGCTCAAGATCGCTTCCAGGCAACATTCTCCATGTATTTCGACTGTATTGCTACCCCATACATTGGGACGTAACCTCCATTTTAAAGGTATCGGGACCACTGGGAGGTCCAGATACATTGACAGTACTGTGAAGTGGGAGCGAGGCCCAAGACAACAATGCAATGAATGCATACACATAAAACGCAAAACTAAGGTCAGACTCAGGTCAGAGGGGGGGGAAAAAAACAAAAAAAAAGAAGAAAAAGACTCAGGTCAGGGGACGCCGAAGGAATCAGTACCGACTGAAAGCCTCTGCAGATTGAGGGCCTCGGCACACCACTTAGCAAATGTACAGACGACAAAAAACTATGGCGGTTCATCTGTCCGTGTTCTCGGGGAAGATTCATTTTCATTTTGCACATTTGGTGAGTGGTCCGGCGAGGCCTCGAGTTACCCACAAAATAACAACGACGACGGAGGGGGGTAGGGCAGAGGATGAGAAGGGGCCGAGAACCAAAAGGGAGAAGACATATGATAGGAGCAAAATAGAAAGAACAGTAGGAGGCCGCGGAGGAGGAGGAGGAAGAAGGAGAAGAAACACAAATGCATTGTGGAAACGATAGCGAACTGTTGAAGGACCATACCCACCGGCACCAAACTCCCACAAAGTACTCGCACACGTGCATGCACACACACACACGGAGAGAGAGAGAGAGAGAGAGAGAGAGAGAGAGAGAGAGAGAGAGAGAGAGAGAGATGACCAGAAAGCATGCACACACGCACACACGCACACACACACACACACACACACACACACAGAGAGAGAGAGAGAGAGAGAGAGATGACCAGAGAGTGCAATTCACACGGAAAACCGAGGAAAAGAATCTCTGGCAGACTGGCACCTGCCACGGTTCCTAAACCAGATTGCAGTTCTGTGATGATGTGATCCAAAAGAAGAGACAACGAACTCTCAAAGAAACAGAAAGAAGGACGATAACGAGAACCAGAAAGACAGGGATTTTTCAGCGGGAATCTCGCCTGTGGCATGAATACCATGTGCCCAGATTCAAAACGTCACCACATTTCAAATGTAGTTGATTTGAAGATTTGTCATCAGCAACATGAGATAGAATCGATACCCATCGATAATATTCCGCAGATTTCTCACATAATCCCACAGAAAGAGTCCTCACAAACTCCCGCAAAAAAAAACGGACATCTCACGCGATTCCGCAGAAAACGGATATCCTCACAAGATCTCACAGAAATAGAAACCCTCTTAAGAAAAGAAAAAAAAGTAAGAAACCCTCTCAAGTCAATTCAACTCTCTCCGTTCGAGTCAACAAGTTATGGACGAAGTTCCACAAAAAAAAAAAAAAAGAGAGGAAGTGTACTGGTAACCGGAACGAAATAGAACCACCTGTACATATTTAGCAGAAGGTATATTTCATGACTAATCGTGTTAAAAGTGAAAACACTGAAAAGTGAAAACCTCAGCCTTCAGAAGTTCAGAGACAGAGGAGCAAGGAGCTTATCTTCTCCAATAGCAAATTCAGCAATTTGCCAATTACAACAAGAAAAAAAAACGTGTAAGTAAGAAAAAAACAGGAAAAGAAAAGACAGGATCAAGCTAGAGTGAACAGCTTGACATCGTCCACAAAAACAATCCCAACTTGAAGTCCAAAGGGAGAAAAGGGTAGGGTATCACCAAGCTAGAGTGAACTAGCTTTACATTATCTCAATTTCAACGTTTTTCTTCGAGCAACAATAAACAGGTTCTCTGTTGGAGAGGGGGGGAGCTCGACCCTCTCCGTTGTAAAGGCGGCTTGCGTCGCTTGACCCTTAGCAACAATAGTCCTTCCCAAAGACGTCGCGTGATTTAGACAACCATCAAATTGCGTAAAATGTGCAGCCAACATCAGATGGCCTTACCCTCAAAAGTTTTCAACCCCCGGTCCAATCGCCTCTCTCTCTCTCGGTCTCTGTCTCTCTCTGTCTCTCTCGTTCTCTCTCTCTCTCTCTCTCTCTCTCATACACACACACACACATACACATACCCGACCGCGAAACAAACACACACACGCTCTCATGAGCTACGTCCCAGGCCCGACGGCGGGGCGTCGTGATGTAATAACAGTGTAATACTTTCGTACAAGTGAGAGAGAGCGAAACTGAAGGGAGCTGAGTCGAGCCGAGCCAACACAAACGGCGTTCCGACTCTACACGAAGGGAATCTGGTCAGGGGAGTCGAGTCAACCTCTAGTCGAATGGAGTCCAGATGTTGGGATGGATACAGACAATGGAAAACTACACTGCTTTGATCAAACGTTGGCTCTGCGTGATGGACATGTCTCCTGTCTTGGTGACTGTGGGATTTCTCCCGAGTCCTGCCTCGGGGATTGAAATTTCCCCTGACTTGAAATTTCTCCTTTTCTTGGTACATAATGGTTTTCAAATTCGATTTGGCTGATTCCCACGCCTGATGAGCAGGAGGACCAACCCCAACGGACCCTTAGGTGTCACAATCGTGTTTATAAAAAAAAAAAAAAAGGAATTGCGTGTGAATCGCTTGCTATACACACCTGGAGTGGGCTGCAAAGCAAACTGATTCCAGCTGCCCTCTGCTCACACAAGCAACCTTATGGACAAACTTTCAAGCGGGCTGAGAAACATACACAGCAGCATAGCCACTCTGACAAAGCTGTCAGGCTGGTCAGCCAGTCAGTCTGACAAAAAAGGTGTCAGCAAGAGGCATAAGAAGCAGGCCAGGTGTCCGGACAGCCAGCGAAGCTGGCGTCAGAATGGAGGACATGGCTACAAAGAGGAGAACGAGAAGGGCATGACTCGAAAAACTACTACGGTAGCACTTCCTCGACAAGTTATAGCGATACCTCCCGTCATAGAAATCGTGTGGCATCATCAACATGATCTTGATGTGCGACAAGTTTTCGTGTGGCATCATCAAGTTATGTCCATTTGTCGCACAAAACGTGTGGCATCATCAAGATGATATTTACTTGGCTTTTGTGCGACAAATGGACGACGAAAACCACAGGAGAAAGAAGAAGAACAACGGCAACCATATCAAAGGAGGCTGTGAGCGAGGAGGAGGCGGACAATTGCAAGACTTTGACAAAGCATGTCCCTCCGTTCCCCTATTTTCGAAAGCTGCTGCAGAATCGATAGCCGTTGATTTAGATCATGATGATCAGCGAATGCCAGATGTCTTCTCTCTCGCTCGCCCACGCCCAACGGTGAGGAGAGAAGAATGGAGAAGGGAGGAGAATCGGGAAGGGAGGAGAAGGGTTTGAAACCAGGAGCTCGAGAGAATTACCCTCCTCGGAGTCCCTCTTCTTCTGATTCACTGTCAGTTCGATGTCCATAATGTTGATACTGGTTGAGATCATCTATGGCGGCGGATGGCTTCTCTCTCGCTTGCCCAGGCACAAGGGTGAGCAGAGGAGAATTGAGGAGGAGAAAAGGGACTCGGAGAATGCGCAAGGAGAAGAGAGACTTTGGCAATCGAAGGTCCAGAAATAAGGTTAACGTCATCTCTTCTTCTTCTGCATTGATAGCTGGATGTCCCAGATCTGCTGATGAACGGCATCCATAGCAGGTCGTTTCTCTGCGTCGTTGTGGAGGCAATGAAGCGCCAGCATAATCATGTCTCCCACAGCTGACAAGTGGCTTGGGTCGAGGGACAGATCTCGATCGCTCATCTCTTGTATGCATTCTTCAGTCAAGCCATGATCGTACGGCTCCACTCGGTCGCTAATCCACGATGCAAGAGTCACCTCCTCCTTCTCTCTCTCCCTTCCCTCCCGGTTCTCCCTGTCCTCCACCAACTCGTCCTCAGAGTGATGACTCGCCGACGTGTCGACAATCTCTCCCCCTGAATCTAGCACATCTTCCGGGCCAAATACCGCCGGTCTTCCCGTAATCAGTTCCAAGAGCAGGACGCCGAATGCGTACACGTCATTCTCTCGAGTGCAAAACTGCTCTCTGTCCAAGTCCCAATCCCCCGGCGCGACGTAACCATTGCTATTGAAACAGCTGCAAGATCTAAAGGTGCCACCTATAGACATCTCATGCGCAGTGCGGTGGTTGAGAGCTATAGCCCTTAGCTGACTCAGGCCGACTCCCACGAGCTTCGTCCTTGCGCGCCAACCATCAGTGCATCCAAGCTCGATGTCGACGTTATAGGTCGACACGTCTCCATGGATGATGGGAGGACTAGAGTTATGATGAAGATGACTTAGTGCGCTGGCCAGCTGCTTAGCGATCAGGACTCGGGTGGGCCAGTCTAATGGATGAGCTTGCCTGGGACCACCACCACCAGCGCGGAAGCCGGGCGCTGCTGCGACATCACCAGCCTGAGCGGCAGCCGCGGGGCTAAACGAAGTGACGGCTGGGGATGCTGAGGAGGAGGAGGGAGAGAGAACGGAGGCAGAGGCCTTGGGAGAGGTGGTCGTACCGATTCCAGCAGCAGATCGAGCTGCACCCTCTCCTGTCGAGGATGACAAGCTGCCATCGTGGCGGCTCTCCCTCCCTTGAGCTTGAGTTTCCTCCTTTTGCCGCTGCGACATGAAGACATTGTTCAGCGCAGTGTGAAATGAAGCCTGACGCCAATTCAACACGTCTCGTAAGCTGCGTCCTTTAGCGATCATGGGGCTGACCAGCACCAAGCGATCTGGTTGGTCGGCGGAATAACCAATCACTTTGGAGATGCTGCTGTGATTGACCCTTCCGAGACGAAGGACTTCCATCTGGAACCGACGGATCTGCAGCGGGGAGAACGACCCGGACTCCGACGGGATGACGTGGATGCTCAGATCGCCATAGAAATCGTCGGATGCCTTGCCTTGATAGACCTTGCCCTCACGGAGAGCTTCTCGGTCTTCGAGCAGTCGGTCAGGACAGAAGTCGTTGCAAGCACTGGCTATGGCTTCTATAGACAAGGAGACGGGCTGAGAGCTCGGCGCGGCGGCGATGGCAGCAAGGAGGGAGGAGGAAGGGGAGGAGGACGGGGTGCCAGAGGTAGACGGGATCCCATCAGACATCCCACGGACAGCCTCGCCGGCTATCAACGCAGAAGCAGCATTTCTTGTGCCGTCATCATCGTCGAAAACAGCGATAACCGATTCAATCCGACGTTCATCACTGCCGACGCCATCGCCGTCGGCACAGCCAACGTGTCTCGAGCGCTGGCCCTTGATGCCTTCAAGGTCACCACCTCCCCGCGTCCTCGTGGTGGTTCTCGGCTCGCGCTCACGACAACAGCCGCGAGACCGAAGCCAGAGCAGCGACGCCATAGCAACGACCAGAGAGCTCGCCGTAATCACAAGAATCGTGAACCATTGCTCATTACCCCCCGCCTTTCGGCTCGGGCTGGTCGTTGCGGCGGGAGTCGAGGCGCCAGCAGCAGCGCCATCGCTCCTGTCGTCAAGACCGACCAGACCCTTGTTGGTTGACGTCAACGAGGACGATCCAGCAGAAGAAGAAGGATCAGATCTCCAAGACGACGACGGCGACGACGATGACGACGTGGTGCCCACCACCATCTTGTAAATCACTCCGCCGCTGTCCACCAAGTACAACGTGTCCCCCTCCTCGCTGATCGCCAGCGTCCGGAATTCGTTGACGTCAACCTGCTCGGGGGCGGGGGTGCGATTCGTGTGCGCGGTCCGATCGCCTCCTTGCTCGGTGCCATAGCCGTGATCGTTCTCGTTGACGTCAACCAACAAGGTGTCGACATGGACTGGCCGCCCGTTGGGCGAGTCGAAGAGGATTCGCCGCAGACTCTTGGCCCGCCTCTCGGCGACAAACAGAGTGAGACCGTCCGGGGCGAGAGCAAGGCCATGGGGGGTGTCAAAGAGGGCACATGCACGTGGGGATCCGTCCTGGAACCCCTTCGTGGTCGGTGATCCTGCGACGAGCTCCGTCGATCCTGCCGACGTGTCAACGCGTCGAACGCAGTGGTTGTTGCTGTCCGCCACATAGAGCCATCGCCCGTCACGAGAGAGGCCGTACGAGCTTATCACTACCCCATCAAACCTGGCCGACGACCGGTCGTCGAAGCCAGCACTCTCTCGATAGCCGCATTGATGGATTTGCTTGCTCCTTGCGTCGGCCGTTGTTGAGTGGGTCGACAGCATCGGAGGGTCCAGGCCCAAGAAGACTTCGACGAACTGGCTGCCGTTGGATCCTAGCGCGATCCTAGAGATGCCGCAGGATGTCCCGATATACAAAAAGGGGGAGGTGGCATTATGGGCGGCGGAGGAGGCTTCGACGTAGGCAAGGCTGGTGGGAGAGCGCAGTTTGACGAAGGAGAAAGGTTTGGCTATGGCGGCATCCGGACTCGCTGCGTAGACGCCGCTACCGTCCATCTCGTTCTCTTCAATTCCAAGATGTGTATCGGAAAGAGAGAAAGGAGGGGGTATGGGACTTAGGCTTAGGCTCTGCTGAGTCGTCGGCTCAGTAATCGCCCCCCCTCGGATAGAGCGAGGCCATCCTTCGTCAGCAATGAACAAAGCACGGTGGGCAGGAGCGCCGCCATCGCTGCATCGAGCCCTCCCAAAGACACAGATCCCGACAACTGAACGCAAGTCGCGATGGTCGTTGTCTGCCACGGCGGCGTCCCAATCCCGAGGAAGAGCTTGCGGAAGGGCCAACGACGACGATGACAACGAAAGTATCGAGGGAGAGGAGGAGGAGGAGGAGGAGATGCCAGGCACAAGCGACGAGAGTGGAACAGTGGTGGTCACACTGCCGCCATTACCATCCACCGACTCGCCGTGCGAGTCACGCCCGTCGCTAGGATCATCATCATTCAAAGACGCGATGAAAGATGATGACGACTGGGGATTCAATACACGTGGTCCCTCTGCAGTCTTGGACTTCACAAGCGCAAGATAAATAATGCCCTTGGCACTCGAATTGCAGCCAACCAGAGCTATGTCGTTCAGAGTCCAGCTATCACTCATCCCGTCGATCACGATCGTTTCCACAATCTGCAACACGTCGGATCCATTCCCAACCAGTCGAAGATTGAATGCACCACCTGCCGCCGCCGACGCCGACGCCGGCGTGGGCGGCGGCGGAGGGGGCGGAGGGGGCGGAGGGGGCGGAGGGGGCGAATGGAAAGGACTTTCCAAAAGGCTGCGCGTCCTACTTCTCCTGCTCCGGGTGTACCTCCTCCTCTTCGTCACTCGCAAGCGGCTGCCGCAGTTGCGTCGTCTAGAACCCGACCACGACAAAGACCGTCGCGACTCGTTAACAGCAGCAACCGCCGTTGCGTCGACCAGATCCCAACCACGATCCGGTCGATCGCGATCCGACCCCGAGGAGGAGACAAACCCCCGCAGCCTTCCCGCCAAGGCCACCTCCTCCTCCCAATCACTATCCCGATCGCCATCTGCCGCCGTACTTCCCCTTCCATAATTATCCCGATTGACGCGACCTTGTGGGCGCTCCTTCTGCTGAGCTGAAGCTTCGGCGGAGAGCCACGCTGAGGAGACCTGCCTTGATGACAGCAGACCTCCGGCCGTTCGTTCTTCTATCGTTGACCACAACAACAAATAATACCAAGGAATCAATGCAGAATTCGAGACCGAGGAAGAAACTGACGACGACGAAGAAGAAGAAGAAGAAGAAACCGAATCTATGAAGCCGCAGTTTATACCACCCAGCGCCGTCATGAGCAGTAAGATCGAGAGCAGCAAGATGACCGCCATGGCTGCTACATGTAGAGGGCAGCGAAGGGGTTTAAACTTGAAATTAGAGACAGCAGGGAGGGGTAGACTTGGAATTAGAGACAGCAGGGAGGGGTAGACTTGAAATAAGAGACCTGGATTCGAAGCTTCATCATAACTTTAAGAGCTGAAGCTAATAATATCCTACGACTGACTTCGTCAATTAGAAAAAAAAAAAGAAAAAAAAAAAAAAAAAAAAAAAGAAAAAAAAAAAGAAAAAAAAAAAAA